AATGCAGCAGCAACGACAAGAACAACAACAACAACAACAACAAATTACATTAAAAACTCACTTGCAACAGTTAAAACAAACAAAGTAAGCAAACAAGCCTGAAGGAGATGACGGAGAAGGGCACAATTTGGTGTACGTGCAACAGAAGCAACCAGTGCCGCCCACACGAGAGGGTATCCAATGTACATATGAAGGTAAAACCGGTAGTTGTAACGAGACAGTTGAGTGTTTGTTGCTGTTGTTGGTAGATGCCTAGTTTACGATACGTTGTCTTCTCGGTTGTGCAATTTAGAATTTTGCCTTTGCTACAGTGATTTCCATTTCAATATGTACACACCGATTAATGCAGTATGCATGAAAATTAACCCTGTAGGAATATGGTGGCAATATGAATAATAATAATTAAGAGGAACGGGTTAAATATGACATCAATGCCAACTATTGGTTAGGTTTGTATGATGACAGTTAACAGTTGACAGCTGGCGCTCTGTCAAAATCCAAGTGACGGTCCGTTATTTACATCAGTTGAGGGATAGGTTATGTATGGTATCAGCAGTGACTAAAGAAGACTAGAAAGGGACACATATTATTTGATTTCTTTCGGTAATTTTCGGAACGTATAGGTTTTAGCAATGAATAGGTGCGAGTGTTGCAGTATCACAAGCATTTTTTCTTTAATGATGTATTTTCAGCACACGATCAGTATATCTCTCTCCGTTTACCCATCTCCATCTTTTTCTATCTGTCTTCGTATTTTTCTTTACTCTCTCTTTTCTCTTCCGTTGAAAATTCTTCTTCTTTCTAATACTTTCATTTTCTCTTTATCTCTTTTTTTTCACTCGCTCTATCTCTCAATTTTGGAAGAACCGTTCACAAGACATTAGGATATACGTAATTGTAAGGAAGCTGGATTTATATCCGACCAAAGACTGTTGCTTCATTAGAATTTTCTAAAACCATTTGTCGAATTGTTTCTGCTTCCACAAAAATGTATGTTTATGTATTAGAGAGTTCAATTATTAATTAATCCGGCCAAAAAATAAAATAACACGATAACTGCTGATAATCATTCTAACCAACACGAATACTTATAAAAATCTGTTCTTTGATAGTTTTACTGGATCTCAAAACTGATAAGGTCCCATTAGACGATGGAAAAATCGTTGATGAAAAAACCTCTCCTCAACGATTTTTTCGCGGTAAATGACATGGACTGTTGAGTAACACGTAATTTTTAACGAGTTCTAGAAAATAAAACCTCTGGATTCATGGTAACAATCTGGATAGAAAAATTTTGAAAAAATGTGTTCGCCACAACTCTTCATCTATACCATATTTATAGCAGTTTTGAAAAACACTGCTGATTTCAATATCAGCAACTCAATTAGGATTCTAAACCTGCATAGATTTGATTGACTGCTTTATCGAGGAAAGAATCGTATTCAAAAAGTCTGATTCGAAAACTCTCACTTAGTTTTCGCATATTTTCGTCGCAGCCTGTTATCGATTTGCCTAGAAATATTAAACCTATCATAATTTAAGGAGCTCCTTTTCTTTCAAAACAAATTTTACTCTCTCGCTAAGTTTTTGGACTACAAATTTCAAATTTCCGCTTGGGCTAGTTACTGCTGCACTCACTCACATGGGCGAAAACAAGTCGCTCGCATTAGAAACGACAGTTCGCCGAGTGCAACGAGTACTTAAAGTTCGACAAGTGGGAGTTACCGTATGCCTAAGTTAACACATTCGCATACACAAATACACACAGATACGTATTTTTGCACAAAATGAAGGTGATTTTGGCGGCTGTTCGGTATGAGTGGGCGGAAGTGAGTTGCATTACAATCAGGCAAGTGGAAGGAATTTCCTTCTGCTGAATGAGCACGTGTGTGTGTTTAGGTGTGTTAGTGCTTGTGTGTTGCAGCCACTCTCTACAATCTTGTCGGAGCGCCAGACAACGATTTTGCCTGCCAGAGTTGCACAAAAGAAAAAAAAATAGACAAAATGAAAACAGCAGAGGAAGTGGGCAGATAAGGGGCACGTATTTGCTGCAGTTTAGGGCATAATATAGACGATCATACACACACACACACGCAGACACAAACGAAATATGCAAACAAGTGCGCCCGCAAGCAAACATACATACATGCATACTTATATATAACGGTATTCTCGTTTGTTTGTCAAATGACATTCATTGAGCCGAGGATTAAAAGCGATTTACTAGTGGAAAACTACTAGGAAAGTACAATAACAACAACCAGGCTGTCAACGAAAATGGCAAAAGCTCAAAACAACATCAAATTTACTGAATATGTTATTACTTTTCTAGCAATTACACATTCCTTTCAAACATAAACACGCTATCTGGTACAATGGAGGGGAAGGCTTACTACAACAATGAACCAGAATAATTTGCAAATTTGCATAGAAACGTTGCTATGCATTTTAATAGAGGCAAAATATTGTAAGTGTATTTTTAGTTAAAAGCTTTTACAGCATATATCTCCGAAAAAGGAAAAGGCGAACAATTTTGTTGGTGAAACATTTGAAATGGATCAATGATAATTGAATATTATCAGCTGATGAAAGAATGACGCGATAATCGTGTACTTTGTTCACTGCGGTGAACTTCGCGATTTCCCACAACGATGAAAATTAAGCGTTCCTAACATAGCCATTTCTAGGTAAAGAGAAGCGAGACGAATTTTTTATCCGGTCAGGAACTGTCAGCTCACGAGGCATACAACAAAAATATTTAGATAATTCCTGACACCGCTACAACAACAACAACAGCAACAGCAAACATGAAATGCTGAATCCGAAAACTTCTATCTGGAAGGTTAGAACTAAGTCAGGTCAGAATTAAAAAGAGTTTTAGTTGTTGCCTTTTTCAACAAGCTTTTTTGTTCCAGCGATCCAAAGAGGGTTAAAAGCTGGATCAATTCCGTTAACGTAAAGCCGGCTGTTGTGGGAATCGTTCAAACACTTCGCTTTCGACACGGAATCGGACCTAGTTGACCAAGAGCCAAAAGCGGATTAGCTACATAAGGAGCTGAAAATCTGTAAACTATAATACAAGTTTCTATGAACAAATAGACAGGAAAATAGCAACGAAACACGGAACGAACTCGTGTCTAACGCAAAGTGACAGAACACTTCTCCTTAGTTAGTATATACGAATCAAATACATTTCAACAATTTTCCAATTTCTGAGCGGGCATAATACTGAAGAGAATAGTAAAACCGAGCTCTCAATTACAGAATTATTTAATTAACGATTTTTGAACCAACCTTGATGAAGTTCGAGGGGTAAAGAAACAGCCGGGCTGAAATTTCAACTTTAAAAGGGTGCTACACCAAAGCTCAGAATATTTATAATTTACACAAAGAAGCAAGACGAATAGATCGACCTCAGGAATTCAGACAATTACTTATCTACATATGGCTGGAACAGGCATTTTGCACACAACAAAAAGCCCCTGAATGATACTAGCCATCGCTTCTCATGCTAACTTAAGCTAAATCATCTAACACCCTTTTCACTTATGTGCTTTCCGTTTGATGACACCGATGACAATAACTATCCTACATGTACTAAAATTGATTTAGATTACCGGTAATAACAGCAAGAAAGAGATATAAAATGACGATCTCAATATTATATTGTGGTTGTTGCTTTAGCGGAATAAAATTTACCGGTATGTGGGTAAGAGTCTTTAGGTAGTAAGGTGGGAGTGGATGTCTGACGACGCATCTAGGCCCATTGTGAAATCACATGGACTAAAGCATTGACTCTATTATGTCCTATCTGAACCACCCTGTACTACTGATGAAGTTCATTACTACAAAAAGTTTTAGCAACCTCCGAGACACCGTCAAGAAAGCCTTGACCAATAGTTGCGATTCTTACCCCATACAAAACTTTGCATTCGCATAGAAGATGTTCTATAGTCTCTTCTTCTTCTAATTCTTGGCAATTTCTACAATAGTCATTGTATGGGAGGATATATTATATTTCCAGTCTGCTAATTAGACAGTGACCTGTTAGCATTCCTACTAGAGTTTAAGAACTTTCCTTTCATTCCTTTTGCATTTTAATAGTCGGCATGTGCGGCCCATATTCCATTCATGCCACGTTTACCCGCTTGCAAATTATGAATTGATTTCACCGAGACTCAGCTATATTTATAACAAGTTTGTCGTTAAAATATCCGCAATTAGGCAGCGGCATATAAATTCCCTACTTTGCGGAGTCTTATTCTAGGGTTTTGCCTGTTCTGGCTAGTTCATCTGTCTTCGAACCCATTATAGGTTTATCGTGAAATAGGATGTTAGATCCACTAAGAGGTAGAGGCATTATTTTAATATCTTTGCTGAAACCCTAAGAGGCTTTAGTGATTTCAAAGCCGCTTGGCTATCTGTAATCTGCATTAATTGCTGTGATCTCTGCTTGGAAGCCAATACAGTGTATCGATAGACGGAAGGCGATTCTGGTATCTGATTTTGCTGAAAAGACACCACCTCCCATGTGATCCCTGTGTCCCTGTCTGCCTCAACCCTTTCTCACTTAGCTGGATTAAAAACTCGCTCGTTGGATTATATAGATCCGACAGCTTTTAAATGGATTTATAGCATACCCTTAGGCGACTATTGAGTGGCGCAGTAGACTGCCGAGAAGTATTTGTGAACTTTGCATGTTAGGACAAAAAATATCAATTAAGGTATGGAAATCTGAGCAATAAGCTGACTCAAATGGAATGTGTGGTTAGAATATATCTAAGCCATTGGGCTCGAAAGGCATACTTTGAAGAAAAATAAAAGTGAAAAGCGCTCGATATCACTAAAATTTGTAAAAAGTTAGAGAGGTAGAAAAAAAATACACATATGACTATATATCAACCAGTAAATGTGGCCATGAAAATTTAACAACCATATGAAAGTATGATATAGCTGTTTGAGCTTAATTAATTCATATTTCCATTTTGATTTAGACTTACCCAGTAGCAAGAGTTTGATGTCTTTTGCCGCCTGAATGCCATCTTCTTTGAGATTCTTTTCGATTTGCTTTGAACGCTGGAGGGCAGCACGTTCCTCGGCCGATGTTGTGCAACCCATTTTCTTTTATGTTTTTGTTTTGGTTTTCTTTTTTGTGGTTAGCGGAATGAAATAATCAAATTGCTTCGATTACAGCGAATTTATTGCAATGCAATTGTTGATGTAAAGCGCGTTTTAAGTTGAACACAAGTTGTTGTAATGTTGTTGTTGTTTGGATTTTCTTCTTTATTTTGCCGATAAACGGATGCTGCTGTTCACTTTAATTATTTTTGTTGTAGCGATTAAAATGTGTTCGAAAAAACTTACTTATGTAATTGTGGGTTTCTTTTTTTTTTACGAAATTTATGTATGTATGTATTTCTATTAATATTTATGCGTTTTGTGCGGTTCGTACTGCTTTCTGTTGTAATTTTATTCTTTTTTTTTATATTATATCGTTAAACACATACACAAAAACGCTGCACTACTTAATTTTTGTTACTTTCTTTCGGTTTTATTATTTTGCACACACTTTACTCTACTTTCATATATAATATGTATGTACATATGTTTGTATGCGTGTACATATGTTTACATTCAAATATCGTTGGGTCGTTTCATGGACATATCATTAAATCACTGTGCGAAAAATGAGTAAACAATGATTGTATGGAAAAAATTCAACATTAAAATGGAATAAATGCAAAATTATAGAATAACACCAACACACACACGCACACACCTACAGACTGGTCATATGGTTTTATGGCGTTGATATCCATAAATTAAATACTGTCATACATAAATAGTTGCGTTTATGTGTGTAATTCGTCCAAGTATTGACGTTTCGGCTTTATTCGTCTTTCAATATACATACACACATATACACATATTCTACGTTTTAAATTTATTGCATACTTGCATTATTTTTATACCCTGAACAGGGTTTATTAAGTTTGCTACGATGTTTGTAACACACAGAAGGAAATGTAGTGGACCCTAAAAAATATATATATAAATGATCAGCCTGACGAGCGGAGTCGATTTAGCTATGTCCGTTTGTCAGTTTTTGACATATCGATCTGAAATTTTGCACATGCCCTTTTCTTCTCAAGAAGCTGCTCATTTTTGCTCATTTGTCGGAATCGGCGATATCGGACCACTATAGCATACAGCTGCCATACAAACTAAACAATCAAAATCATATCGTTGTATGGGAAATTTTTTTATTTGTCGAGATATCTTTACGAAAATTACCTGATTATTATCCAAAGCAGCGCTATAATCTCCGAACATATTGCTTAGTTTGGACCCATAGCATATACCATATATAGCTGTCATACAAACTGACCGATCAAAATAAAGGATATAAACTTTTATGATAACATGCACCTGTGTAGGGTATTATAGCTTCAATGCAACTGACGATAAGGTTTTTTTCTTATTTGTTCATTTCATTTCAATTCAATTGTCTAACAGCATTTAGAATGCGTTCAAGCGAGGCTTATATTGCGAAAACATTGTTTTGAGATTTCAAATCGCGCTTACTGGCCGTTAGTTGAGTCACTTTGAATGCCGCAGCTGGCGCATTGGCTGAGCGGCGCACACGCTCATCAAAAGCTGATTAAAAGTGACGACACTTTCATATACAATATGTACAAATGTGTATGTATTAGGGTGGAGCGAAAAAAATTTTTTTTGCTTAGCCTGAGAATCAAATTTGTAGATTATAAATATTTTTGTGGAATTTTGAACATTTTTTTTAGACATCTAGAGGCGGCCCACTCATATTTAAAGTAAATTTTGATTTAAAAAGTTAAATTTTTTTTGGTTTAAACTCTTCACATTTATATAAAAACTATCGAATTTGACGGTTTTTGACTCAAAATTTATTTTAACGCTTAAGGAAAACATGTTGTCGTTTAAGACCTTTTTTAAAACTCCAATAATGACCATAAAAATTTTTTTTAAGTTGAAAACTTTTAATTGGCTCGAAAGAGGACTCTCCACAGCTTCTAGAACATTTATCAAAATTTTTTTCCGAAAAAAAATTTTAACTCGAAGCTTTCCTTTAAAAGATAATAAAAAAAAATGTTTTTTCCGAAAATTTTCTTTTTTTATAATCTACAAATTTGACTATCAGGCTAAGCAAAAAAAAAATTTTTCTTTTCGCTCCGCCCTAGTATGTATGTCATCCAGTTGACATTAATTATTTTGAATATGTGCACGAGTATGATTAATTAATGCCGCTTACTCGACTTTGGGTGCGGCTGTGACCATAAGCGCCATCAATTGAGACAGACTGCTTAACAGTTAACAATGGAAAAAGTGCGTGTTGCACCTGCGATGCTCTCAAAGCATAGCTTTACCTTCTAAATAAACTTGTAGTATTCACAAAATCTTCCACTTGGCATTATTTTTAATGTGGACTGATCAGTCGTGCTCTTGGTTTATATATGTATGCATGAAACCGTTAATGCCGACATTATGCTGTAGCAAATCTTTGCGACATAAGACTTAGCCTCAAGCATAAGCCCTGCTATGACTCTTCAGATGGAGCCTAAAGAAGTTCAAATGTTGACGACACAAAGAGAGGAGGTCGTTTTCACGTGGTTCGAACCAATTCAGCCATAAAACCCTTTCACGAACGCATTCGCAGAAATCCAAACAGAAAATTATCTCAAGTGAAATTAATATATCGACCAGATATAATGTCAAGAGTTATTCGAGTTGATCTCCACATGAATGCCTACCTTTGATCAACTGCTCATGTTCGGAAATATTCTTTTTACAGCCAAAAAAAAGAAAACAATTTGACAAAAATGTGAATTCATTGGACTACAGTTTGTGGTTAGAGTTGGAGAACATGGCCGGTGGAATACCCCACAGAAATTTAAATTCTCAAAAAGTCTTTGGTTCGAGCAGCGTCATCAATACCGATAGAAACGGTGGCGTCTGCTATGGTGAAAGGTGATAATTTCAAATAAAATTTTTTACTTCGCTTATTTAATATAAGCATGATTTAATAAAATTAACTTTAGTAAAAAATGTATTATAGTTAAATTTTTTTAACGCCCTGAACTTGTAACAGAACTTATGGCAGGACAAATTAATTATGGCATTACAATGTATGTATGTATTTATAAGTATTTTTATGTATTTTATGCAAAATTTTACACTTATCTCAACTCTGATATTGAGTAAAATTCATTTGTATGTAGTATAAATTACACATACATACATATGTATGCTTGTATCAACATAAAATTCCAACCAAATGGAAGCGAGACGCTTATCAGCTTTTTACCATGCTCCATGCGGTCGTTTAATTTACTTGCAATTGGCGACTTTGGCCTCCCCATACCAAAAAAAACTTGAAGGATTGAACAGCCGACAACAGACAAAGTCAGTAAGTTTTCAGTACCAATGTGAACATTGAATTACATACACATCATGTTTGTATGTATTTACCAAATACATATATACATATAAGTATGTATATTTGTTTATATACGACCATGCGGCAATGTGAAAGGCTTTGCATTCCAAAGGCATTGCACATTGAAGCGATATGCTCAGTTTATACGAAATGGCAATAAAATATCCACAAATGAATAAACAAGTAAAATAAGTCAAATATATACACCCATATTGATCATATATTCGTATGTATGCAAGTATGTAGGTTGCAAGCCTGAGTTTATCTTATCTATTTATGTAAGTACAAATGTACATATGTCTGCATATATTAGCGAACAGATCAATCGATACGCTGTGATAAAAAAAATGTTCATCCACTCCAAAATAAAAATTGTATACCCTGAACAGGGTATATTAAGTTTGCCAAGATCTTTGTAACTCCCTAAGGGAAACTTTGCGAACTATAAAAAAATATTTAAATGATCAAATGATCGAACTGAGTCGATTGAGTTATGTCCGTCTGTCTGTATATACGCGAACTAGTTCCTCAGTTTTCGATCTGAAATACCTCAAAATTGTTTTTGCTTAACAAGATATCTTCAGAAAATTTGGCTGCTATTCAAACTGACGAATCACAATCAGATAAAGATCTTTTTATCACCTCTTATGCTATAAACAATGCACCTGTTGAGGGTATGGTAGCTTCCGTGCAGCCGAATTATTCTTTTTGCCTACTGTTCACACTGGTTAATACATTCATACATACATACATGTGTATGTATATACCATACATATGTACATACACACATATGTGAACGACATTTTCCAGTTAAAAAAGCAATGATAAACGGAAGCTACAAACTGCCAATAGCTTCAGCGCCAACATTTGCAAGTTCTCCACAAAATGTATGGCATTGTGTTGAAAACATTAGTTTAATATCTGTGTACATAAGTGTATAAAAATGTTTATCGTAAGTACGGTAATTTACTGAGGAAAAAGTTTGTGCGCGGAACATTTTCGGACTGGATAGTATTCTGCAATGTCTTTATCAAAATTAGTTACCATTATGTTTTTTTGTTTTTTGCCTAGCAGACACTATCTACGAATATTAATGTCTGTTGAATGTACTTTTGTATGCACGCATGCTATTTTGCGTATTCACTCACATATTCACCTGTGCCCACTGCCACCCACACACCACCCAAGCTGCTAAGCGCACTTGCTTTGCTCAAACGCATATACAATTTAGTATACATAATTACAAAATTAATATATTGCATTTTCTTGAGTATATGCACATTGCAGTTAATTATAAATGTATGAATATAACATACAATTTATTTAAACCCAATCTTGGGGGGAAGTAATAGTAAACTATTCATATTACACTACTCTATCGGAAAGTATGTAGTTTTTTTTTTTGCCACCGCCCCGCCCGTTGACGCGCAATGGTGGTAAAATACACATTTCGAGCGTAAACGCGCCGCTAGCAGCCTTTCTACATGCGAATACTGCCGCCCGGTGCCGCCTCTCAAGCCACACATACTAACATATTTGCTGAGACATATATTATATTATAACAATGCTATTGCATCGATTTTGTGCTTTAAAAACAATAAAAAGTTATTGTACTTTTATCAAAATTTCTTTCTGTCAAACACTGTGCAAAAAAAAAAAACAATTATTCATTTGGAAAAACGCGTATGCGATTTTCACTGAATACACATCTGGCGTTTCTACCTCGCCCAGAATGTTGCGACTTGTGTTCGTGTGTGCCTGTGTGTGTGTGGTTGGTACACGATTTTGCGGCTGGTGCTTCGCTGGTCACTTGGTCTTTTTTTTAAGCACTTCCACATACATTATCATTACACTAACAACATTTTCTTCAATTACCACAATGCACTTGCACTTTTTTCCAATTTCTATTGATAAATTCCGATTAATACAATTCGTTTTGCTGGAGTTATTCACAAATTTCTTCGAGCACTCGACTTTTTTGTGTAACCCGCCCGCAAACTTTTTCAACTCTGCTGCCACTGCTGCTGCGAATGCGATTGCTCCTTTGTATTTGGTGTTCCGCTCTCAATGCGGCGCGGCGGCGCTTGTTCATTCAACTTTTTTTTCAATTATTATTTTTTTGGGTGCTCTCTCGCTCTCCAACAATGGGCGCTTGACATTTCGCCGCCAGTGATAGCAAAGCAGCAAGTTTTTGGATATTTGAGTTGTCAAACCGCTTAACGTGCAATTATTTGAAATTTAATTTAATAGACACTAATGAAAAACAACTTTGAAATAAATTTACTAGTATAAGTTGATTTTTGTAAAATTAATTAAATAGAGTCAAAATTTGGTTCCCATTTGCTATTAACATGTACCATATAGCATTTGAGCATAATTTTTACATACAGTCATTTACCAACACTGTTTGTCGCTCTTTATGTTCGAAACTTCGAAATCAATATTTGTTTATTAGACGATGGGTGCTGCCATACTTGGGTGCAGCCGGCAGTACTACTGTAAGCAAAATATTTTTTTTTAGAATATGAATTAGGTTTTATATTATCGTTCCTTGTACTGTAATATTTATTTTGATTAAAACAAAAGAAATCCAATACTTTATGTTGGTCGTAAATTCATTTCATTCATCTTCAACCTCACTTACATCCGGTCTTAGCTTACTATTGTGGCAACATTGATTTGGAGGTATGACATTTCCGAACTGTTAAATTTACAACATCCGTGCAAGCGCAAGTTTTCCAAACGGATAGAAATGTTTTGCATATCTATTTATTGCCAGAATAAGTTATGAAAACGCCTCGACTCTACCATTTGTTCCAAACCATCACATTTACTGCTTATTATATGTAACAGTCCCAGGATTTCAGATGTTATCAGATGTATACAGTTAATACAGCAGTGAAAGAATGTATGTATGGAGATCTGCAAAGATAAATCAAAGCATCATTCAGAATATGAGGCAACAAAAGTTATGGCTTTATCTACGCACCGACTTTTCCGATGTCTCTGCTTAAATAAGGTGCCTATACGCGAAATCCTAAGCGATTGAAGCAAAACAGTTGTTTTCTGACCAAGGATTCTGTTAGAATGCATTCCACATAATATTTGGAAATGTTCTGTGCCACAATAAAATATATAATTGTGGGTTTGGAAAAATAACTGAGATCTGACTGCTGCTTAAAATCAGAGTAAAGTGAAATATTGAAGTATTTTTTTTGGTTCCACATGTAGGGTTAATCTAAAGTTGCTTGCAATGTCCCAACTTAAGAGAAAGTAGGATTTTAAAATTTTGTTTTTTGAATATTTTGTTTTCAAATGTGTGCATATCTCAAGAATTTTGTGTCTAAATTTCAAGTCGATTGGAGCGAAATTGACGAAGTTATGTTTTTTTATTTTCATACCTGTCTTATGAGCGTTTTACATCGGATTTCAAAACTTTAAAGCGTTTTCCTCACAACTCATGTTTGCAACGTCGGTTGCTCTCATAAAATCAAAACTACTGTACTGATCGTTTTGAAAATTTTAACACTATTTCTATACATAATTTATAAAGGTAACATATTTTTACATATACAATTTTATAATAACAAATTAATCGATTTTTTCTTAAAAAATTTAGGTTTTGCGTCTTTTTCCTTCAAAGTGTTCCCATAAAATGAAAAATTGAATTTCCGAAATAAAAATTCGCCTTGTTTTACGCGAATTAACCTTACTTCCCTCTTCTGATATAACTTAGATCAAGACTCATGTATTGATATTTTCCCCATAAATATTATCCTTTAATTTCTGATTTATTTAAAGACAAATTCAATATATATTTATTTATATATATATATATATATATTTATTGAGATAAGTTGAATTCTTTCTGCATTCATTTCGACGAAAATTATTTATTATTAAAGAATAAAACTTCATCAGCTCAATTAAAGTTTGGAAGCATAATAATAGCCGAAAACAAAAATGAAAAAAAAAGAATATAAACGCTATTCGCTTAACTTAACCACTAATCGATAATTACAACTAACAATATAGAGTTTCGTAAAGAGCACGAAAAAAATCTGCATTTAAATCTCACTGCTTTCGCTTTAAACACGTAACTGTTGAAGACGCGACGTTTTTCGTGCAAAAGTACATACGTTGCGCTTAAATGTGAATTTATTTATTATTATTATTATTATTATTTCATGAGTGGTGTTTGTATACAAATTTAAGCACAGAATTTTGTTTTTCAATTTTAATTTACTTAATCGATGATTGGTGGATATTTTAAACAAAAACAAAACTTTTGATTAAAAGTTAAAGGCAATAGTGTGTATATATATATGCATATGTGTGTGTGTGTGTGTGCTTGAAAATTAAACTAATGAACAAATCCAATTTACTGTTTGTTGTTAAATGTTTGCTTTTGTTTGTATGTATGTATATATATTGTATAATTTACGCGGCCATTCTTTTTTCTTTTGGAGTACTTGAGGGGAGGAAATTATGACTACTACCGCTACATTGAACCACATGTATAATACGTGGGTCTTGGTGTTACTAGAAAACTGAAAATTTTAATAATTATCGTTGATTGTTGAAATTATAGTTAAACAAGTTTAGTTGATTATAAATGAATAATTTGCGTTCGCTCTTCTATGTTTTGTTTTTTAAATACGATAATTAGAAAAAATCTAAATAAGTGCAATAAGGAGCACAATCGGAGCGCATGCTGGTGTCAAACGATGGCGGACACACCAACCACCACCATGCTGTGGGACACGACGACGACGACGACGTTAGCTACGACGTTTCGAACATCTTCAAGCGCAGAGTGGGTCAATTTTGTGGAAAGACATCTTCGATATTTACGAACGCACAAGCACCGAGCGATTCCCGAGCCATCACCTTAAGCAATTCAGCGGCGTGCGCTACGCACACGTCAAGTGGCGGGCGACGTGGATAGTTCATCGATTCTGGAAGATATCAGTTATATTAAAATTAGAGATATTAAAAGTAAAAATCGAAACATAATTAAAAAATAATTTTCGGTATCGAACAAAATTTTAATCTATCTGAGTTCGCTGAATTTTTTTTTCATAAATTATGGTAGAAACATAAGTACCTTAAAAAATTTGATTAATGTAATGAATAAAATTTTTTTTTTATCGAAAAAAGATTTATTATTCTATCTAACAGTTAAAAATTAATACTTAATCCTTATTCATTACAACAAAGTTCTTGTTACTTTCAATATAATAATATTACAAATTTGTAGCTTTTTTCTATAAAGTGTAAATTGTATCTCATTAAAGGTAAATAACCTAAAATATTTTTACATTCATTTGAGATAACTGAAATGGACTTAAATGCTCTTCAAAATCTAGATAGGACTATAAAATTTCTTTTTCTGAATATTTGAAATTTATTTGAATTATAAATTATACCCTTTTCGATTTCACATCGTGCTATATAAACATAATCTTACCTAAAATGGCGGAATTGAGTGCTGTGCAAACGTTTTCTCGTTTCGTGGGACAAAGTTGCCAACCCAACGGGCTGGACCAGGGATTTGAATAGGCAATCAAACTAAATGCATCCTGTTGGAGAAAATATAAATATTATTAACGTAATGTAATGTAGTTTCCAAAGATAATATAATGACTAAATAACACCGGTTAACAAAAAAACATTCTTTTTGTGTTCTTGTTTTAATGCTCAGATTCTGATTCTAGAAATTGAAAAATACGGGAAATTTTATTTTTAGCTTTTAAAGTTTGCTTTTGTCTGATACACATGGGCCTAATTTGCCCATATAAGCCTAAAAGAAACCCGAAAAAATTTCTACAAAAGCAAACTTTAATCAAAGAAACCAAATTTATTCTTATTTTTGGTGTAAGGGAAACTGAATTGACAAAAAAACAAAAGAAAAAACGTTAACCTCGGTGGGACCGCACTTATAATACCCTGTACAGGTGCATTTTTTTTTAGCATAAAGGGGTATAAAAACCTTTTTTCTTGATTTTGGTCGATTAGTTTAAATGTCAGCTATATGCTATAGCGGTCTGATCTAAACAATATGTTCGAAGATTTGAGCGTTGCCAGAGATAATAATTCATGCCAAATTTCGTGAAGATATCTGGTCAAATAAAAAAGTTTTCCGTACAAGTATATGTATTTGATCGTTCCGTTGGTATGTCAGCTATATGCTATGGTGGTCCGATCTGAACTATTTGTTCGAAAATTTTACCGTTGTTTTTGACAATAATCCATACTAAATTTCGTGAACATATCTGATCAAATAAAAAAGTTTTCCGTACAACTTGGTCAGTTTGTATGGCAACTATATGTTATAGTGGTCTGATATCGTCGGTTCCGACAAATGAGCAGCTTCTTCGGGAGAAAAGGACGTGTGCAAAATTTCATAACGATATCTCAAAAAGTGAGAGACTAATTCGCGTATATACAGACAGACGGATATGGTGAAATCGACTCAGCTGGTCACGCTTCTTGGTAAATAGCTCTATATCAAACTTAACATACCCTGTTCAGGATATAAGAATTAAAATAACCTTGTCATGCACTTGTTTGACTTGCCATCCAGAATTATCTAGAACAGTGGTTGTGCTCGTACAAAATACTTACTTCCAACATTTGTCGATCCTCATCGTTTAATTTATTCTCCTTCTCCAATTGCTGCCCCATTTGAGATAGCTCTTTACCGAATTCCAATATCCGTTCGATGCCATGACTATATTTCTGTGCGGAAGGTGATACGTCGATGTCTAGATTAATAAAATAGTATATTTATTTTCAAACATTTATTTTTAAATAAAGTTGTGTGACTACAAACCCATTTCCTCATCAACGTCTAAAGAACTATTGAAATTAGAACTGCCGTTTTTGCATGAGTTACCTGGGTAGAAAAACATTGATATATATTAGATATAGGGATGAAAAGTGGGATCAAAATTTGAATGCAATTGACAATTGAAATTTTATATGCATAAATAGAAAATGTATTTTTCCGAATTTAAATTAAAGTTTTTGTCTTAATATTTTAAGGTAACTTTTTGTTATTTAAATTTTTCAATCTTAATAAAAATAACAAAAAACATTAACTTCGGTTGCGCCGAAGCTATAATACACTTCACAAATACAAAAGTTTCCTTACGAGGACTTTGATCGGACAGTTTGTAAGGTAGCTATATGCTATAGTGGTATGATCTGAACAATATCTGCAGGGATTGTAGAGTTACCTTGGACAATATTCTACAAGAAATTTTGTAAAGATATTTTCGCAAATGAAAAAGTTGTCCAAACAAGAACTGAATTTTGATCATACATTTTGTAGGGCTGATATATGCTATAGTGGTCCGATATTGGCAATTCCGACAAGTGGGTAGCTTTTTGAAGAGAAAAAGATGTGTGCCAAATTCAAGACAGACGGACATGACTAAATCGATTCAGCTCGTCATGCTAATATATACCGTATATATAAATATTATAAGGTCTCCGACGTTTTCTTCTGGTTGATACAAACTTCGTGGCAAATTTCAGGATATAAATATTATTATATTACTTTGAAAATAAATTTAATATAGCTTTGTTTAACTCCTTACCGTTGGTGTGCATATTTAACTCCATTTCTACATCATTCAAATAATCGATATTGGTGCTATTGTTTTTATTACTAATTGAAATCGCATCACCAGAGCAGTTCTCATCCGTAACACTATGTGTTGAAAGGGGTACGTTAGTAAAAATTTTCAATTAAAAAAATTAACATTTTACACTTACGATGTGTTTTTCAGTTCCTGTTGATGCGCATGATTATCGGCATTTATCACAGCTGAATTTGTTGTTGTTGATGTTGTCACCATAGTCTGTGCATTATTATGTGCTACTGTGCTCTTACCATTCTGATACGATTTGGTTGACTGTATGACCGATGTTTGATTCGGTGGCGTTGTCTGCGTTTGTGTTGTGATCGAATTTGTTAATTTATTATTAGTAGTAGGGCAATACTGAACCAACAGACACACAAAATGAAAAAATAAGGACACAGAAAAGCAAAAAAAAACAAAACATAAATGATTACATGCAAAAGTGTTAGTAAAGACTTTCTTCTTTTTTTTTTTTTTTTTTTTTTTTTTGTTTTGTTAGGTTAAGTTACACTAAGCTAAGATTTGTTTATCCATAACTTCTCTTTACCTCAATATCGGAGCCATTAACCATTTCTATGAACTGTCTGCACTTCAGCATGAACCAAAGACTTTTGTTATTTTCCAATAGACCCGGATAAGAGCGCAGCGTGTGCTCAATGGCGTGGCCCATTTTGCCGGATAATACCAGTTTTAATATTTCTTTAATGCAGATTGGAAAAAGCAATTTAATTGAAATAAATAACCGTTATTTATATAATGACGCAAACATACTTTGACGATTTCGAATCGATGAAATATCCTCTTGAAACGTTTGCCCAGTGGTTCGAGCGAATGCCTCTGCAGTCTGACTATAACCATTGTGCAAGAGATAGGATGATACCATTCTGAAAATGTAGAAGATAATGTGTAAAATATTATTTAAGAACTATTTATGCGTTTTGTTGAGCAACTCACTTGTGTAGCAGTGTCGTTGGATCACCCTGATCGAGCGTCATGGGAAAATCATAGATGGCGGTCCTCATTTGAGCGCGCATTTGTTTCATCATATCTTCGATTTGATCAAATTTGAATGGTTCCTGGCCAAAATTGGCATCGATCTCCTCACCAGGCGTTTGTAGACCAACAGTTGGATATAGTTTACACTAATAAAAATTGAAATACACGCATGTAGCGCATAGTCAAATCAGCTCATTTGTATGTACGTACATATATACTACTTACTTTATGTACCGGTAAATCCCTGAATGCGACACCCAGATCAATGCCATTCTTTGTGTAAAAACATGAATTATCCACGAAATTCACACAGCAACCGATTATATCGCCAGTTGTGAAAGTCGGTCCGTACGACTGACCCGTATTGGATTGAGCATATGAATTGCCATCGTCACCATGGTAACCATACGTATGTTTGTCCCAACCTGAAAGAGAAAATGGCGAATGGAAAACGAAATTAATATTATTTGCATTTATTGGTGAATAGAAAACGCGCTGCCTTTACCTGGTAAACGATTCATACGAAATTGCTGAGCTGTCAAACCGATACCCATATAGCCATCTTTACCTTTCGATATGATTTTCACTTCAAAATAGTATAGGCCACAGGCGGGTGGAATCGGATGAGCTGCGCGCACAGAGGCTGAACCGTCGTGCTTAGTACCTACGCCTGCAAATAAATGGCGTAAAATAAATATATGGCGTAATGCAAGTGTCCTGATCAAGGACATGACAATCTGAAAGAGGCTGCGTTAGGCGCTATCAAAAATAAACTGATTTTAAAATATCTTGCAATGTCATTTTTTATATTAACATATTACATATGTATGTAATTATAATAATTAATTTGAAACGCTTTTATTCATTCAGACAATGTATATAGTGATCTTCTTTGGAACTGCGTTGTGCAGTTTGCGCCTTAATACTTTTTGATTAACGAAAATATAACCAGATTTTTTTTAATGCATCTTACGAGCGACAGATTCATTTATAAATAAAGATAAGTACACAATATGCACTTAACTACAATAATTATAAGTAAAATTAATATGAACTCAATTTTCAGGCATAAAATGCAACTAGTTTAAATGTAAACAACAACTATGCGCTTGATAAACCTATATCAGCTGATGGTATTATGATTGTAGCAACTACGAACAACAACAGTAAACAGATGCACACGTACATCTGTTTATAAATGTCAAAAGGAGTACCGACAATAAAAAGCATGCGTAAAAAAAGTTCAAACCAAATACAAAAACAAACACACAAATAACCAGGCCAATGACAGAGGGCGATGAAGCGAGAACAACCGAAATGCTTTCGTGCTGGACAACTTCGTGTTTGTTTCCCTTCCGTTTATTCCGTTGTTGTGTATAAAGACGTTTTCTATTTTTTCCCCTCCGATTTGGTACATAAAATGGCAGAACAGAATGCACTCCACTGTAGTGATGACAAAGGTAAATAAAGCGTATATGGAAAACGCAATAAAGAGCAGTGGACATGGAAAATTAAGGGAAATGAATGAAGTGAGGAGAAATTGCATGCACACATACGCATGTACATATGTATTTGCGTATGTATATAACGAAAAACTGCTTGATATGGGTCGAGTGAAGATCAAACCGCCTACCATTTGCTGTTAACAATTGAGGATTATTTATTAACAAATTTTAATATACTAGCAATAAATATGTGTATCATTAAAAAAATCTGATTGGTTTTTTTTTCAATGAATTTTAACTTTTTCCGCACACCCACATATTTACATAGCTCAAACACTATGAAAGCAAGTTCTGCATTTCCGCCAGCTCCTTAATTTCTAATTTCGTTTCCTTTTTTAAGGACGCGCATATTTCGCGCTTAAAAGCTTCTCGAGTTAATATTAGTTTTCTATTTTTACTCGGTGCGTACTAGTCTAGTATTTTTTCGATCGGTTGTGTCTTATGGAAATAATGAAAAGTAATGCATTTATTAAAGTTTCACTCACCTTTATAGTGTACATGTAGATTATTCTGCGATAGTCCAATCGATAGACATTTGTCGTGTGGACTCCAGCAGCGTGGCAGTGGAGTTTCAGCTTCATTCACATTTGGATAGAGCATTTTTAGGCGATCGGTCACTTGCTGACGCGAATGATGATTATGATTGCTACTGCTGTGGCCACCAGCGCCAGCGCAAGTGATAGTGCTTGATAGGGCAGTGGCACCGCCGCCGCCGCCGCCGGACGGGTTGTCGCTATTGCTGCTGCTCCCAAGCATGTTTGCTGTTAGTATTGTGTTTGTATTTGCGCCGTTACTGGGATTTATTTGGCTGACAAAGCTAATGCCGCTATTATTGTTATTATTGCTGCTGATGCTGATGCTATCGCCCCCACCGGACAAAGCAGGTATGTCAAACGCAAATGGTGAATTATTTATGCAGCCACCAAAATTGGGATAATAATGATGATGGTGGTGGTGGTTTAGTGGGTGCGTGAATGGATGGTGTGTAAAATGCGTAGCGTACGATAGTGCAGCAGGTGACTTCGGTGCTCGAACGAGTTGTTCGCCACTAAAATTCTCTTCGTCGTCAGCGTCGGCGTCTTCGTCGTCCTCTTCTTGCAACAGCAATGGCAGTGATATTGGAGGTGTTTGGTTACGTATATTAGATGCGCTACTACCAGCTGCACCCTCACCTATTACGCTCAGTGTTGAGCGTTGAGCACCGCTCAAACTTTCCACGGACTGTTCTTGCTGCTGTAGACGCTGGCGTTGTTGTTGCGACTGCTGCTGTTGACTTGTTGATGCAATTTCAGCATTCAGTCCAATAGCTTCACTCGCAGCTGATTCTAATGCAGATGCATCAATCGTATCGGCAATCGGACTATTGTCTACAAAATCAGATGGATGCGTTAATTGTAGTTCTTCTTGTATGTCCTGTTGCTCAAGTGCTTGCTGGTGCTGTGCTGTGGCTGCTGCTTCCGAAATCGGCTGTTGTTGTTGCTGCTGCTGTTGCTCTTGTTCGAGTGGTGGTGGTGGTGATGGCGGTGGTGGTAGTAGTGCGTGTTGCTGGAGGGAGGGAGAGGGAGAATGTTCAAAATGAAGCGCATGTTCAGAGTGTGTTTGTTCTTGTTGTAATTGTTGTGGTTCTTGCTGATGATGATATAGTTGAAGATTGTGTGACGATGATGTTGGCGACGATGATGATGAGGAGGATGAAGGAGGTGGGGTGGTATTGTTATTGAATAATAGGGTTGAAGCGAAAACTGAATTGTCTGGCAAATGACCTGCCGTATGATGTTGTTGCTGTGGTGGTGTTGGTGGTGGCGGTGGTGATGGTGATGGCGGTTGTGGCAATCCAACTGCACCGATGCGTTCATCTAAGGGCTCTGGCAACGCCTCGGGCTGTACAAAATGCACGCCACCATCATTATCAGTTGACTGCAATATTGGGAGCATAGGTAAATTTGCGAGCAAATTGCTGCTGCTGCTATTGTTGCTGCTACTCGTCGACGAAGAATTCAATTGTTCATTATCGTTATCAGTATCCATTTTTTATGACTTTAAAATGTTGAAATTAGTCAACTGAAAATATGGTACACACTTTTTTTTAAAAAGCTACCACTCAAGTGTGTGCATTAAATATTTATAGACAACAGAATTTTGAGGGAAAAGAGTTGGGTCTGTCGTTATTGGTTACCATCATCAACATCATCGTCGCAACATCAGCGCTAATGGGTACTTAAAAACACATACAATACATAAAATATTTCCCATTGAAAAATTTTTGTTTATAATTTTTGGAATGCTTAAATGGAAGAAGTGTCGGCCAAGTCGTTGCTATAAAATATATTCCAGTGACGCATTTAACACAATTGTTTCGAAGAAATTGCAATACATTGCCTGAAAAAGAGGTCAAGGTTGCACTGTCCTAAATCTATGCTGACCCTGGCATGGAAATACTTTTAACATGTTTTTTTGTTAAATATTTCTATGATTTCAGCTAAATCTACATGGAGAGCACCACATGGAATATCTATTAACTGCATAGAATACAAATTTATGCAGTTTCAATAACTGCAATTAGGTCGCACCCATTTAAAGCAACAGCTATTATGTATACAAATAGTATTCAAAGAAAATAACTCTATAATATCCAGTAATCTCGTAGCCACTAGGTGCTGGTTATGATACTACTTTTCCCATCTATTACGCTGCATTTATGTATTTTATTTTTTCGTTTTTGTTAAACGACAGCTGTGAACTGGCAAGTGAAAGCAACAATGATTTGTATAAAATCAATATATCACCTTTACGCACGTCACGGCTTAAATTAGATTTTAGTCAAATTTATTCTATACATTGCACATTTTGTCACAGAGATGCTTGTGTTTTTAAAATATATTACAACTTATGTGCGAAGTTTTTCACTTTTTTAATACGTTCTACTGATTTTCTTTGTTTTGCACTCTTGATAAAGTGACAATCACACGAAAAAGGCACAAACACGCACACACACAAATACACAAATACATAACTCCTCTTGCTCTTCATAAATTTCTTTTCTATTGTTCTGTTCTGTATCTATGTGCGACATTTATGCATTTCGTTTTGTTTCCTTGTACATTGTCAAAGTCTTCTTCTTCAACTCCTTGTGTTTTTCTTGTATTCTGCGCTTTGATCGCACTTTCGTCTCAATTTAACAACAACAATCTAAACATATATGTATGTATGCATAAAAGCGAAATTCATGCATAAAAGATATAAAGTAAAATTGATGAACAATGGAGTTGCTGACTAGCTGTATATATTATCATCTTTTTTCGTTGGGTAACTGGAAGAAATTTCCTTTAGCACACAGAATTCGGTGTACTTTCGCATTTATGACCTCACTCTAAATAAATATTATGTATTGAAATCGAGGCAATTGTGATCCCACGCATTGCGCTGTCACAATTTGCTTTATCTCGCCACTTTATTCACCTTGGTAGATAATAAAACCACGATCGATTTTTTTTTCACTTTACAGCAGCACACGCTGGCTATTTCGCTCCACTTGATCTTTGATAATCAAAAGTTTAATTTTTATGATAATATTTATTCCTTCCTTTCTTATTTATTTTTATCCTTTCCCGAAAAAACACAACTTCCACTTCGACTGTCGACTGTCGCAGCAGAAATGATATAGTGCTGCCAGTGAATTGTCTACTGCTTATCTTTGCATATTCGTAATTATCGATAACAATGAGATGCCACATCATGAAATTTTATAATATGCATTCCGATATATGAAAAATTATATATTTGAAAATCGCATTTTACTCAATTGATGAATTTTTAATTATTGTTGAAAGAAATGAAAGCTAAGATAGAAATATTTTGCATTTGACTATGTCACCTCCGTATTTGTGGCAAAACATATAACAGCAGGATTTGGCTACTGTATTACGAAATTAATTTAATTAAGGATCTTATTTCTTTTATTTTGCATTTTTTCCGCAAAAAATTATTGATTACTTATGACAAAAATTACTCTACCCAACTTTTATGCACATAATGAAAAAATAAGTAGACAATAATATTCTATAACATATTTATCGATATTTTATTTATCAATATCAAATTTTTCAAATATCCGATTTTTACTAAATGCATATCCATGTATACACAATACATATTATTTTAATTAATTTGTTTGTTTAAATTTTGAGCAACGAGAATGGTAAGTTTTGGAAACTTTAATATTTGCTTACAATTATTAATAAATATCGTGTTTCATAGATTTTTGAAAGAAAATTTTAATAATGAAAGCATTGGCTTTAAGGAACCAGACAAATACCTTGCGCAACGATGATTTTTCAAAGAAAAGTCGGTAGAAACGACTGCGCCTTCTTCATTTATTGTCGTATCTCCATTGCAATCACCGGTTTGTCTACCTTCGCCATCAGCGATGATAATGTCGCCAACCGAGCCTTCATCACTGACCATGTCGTCACCAGAGCAGTTAGCATTGTGCGAATCTGGAAATCAAAAAAAAAAAACATTTAGAAAGTTTAATGCTGAAAAAATTTGACAAAATAGATTGGCCGATGTATGCGGCATAAAGACAACCGAAAGTTCGTAAATATTTATATTTGGTACATATATGGGAGATAGGGGATTGATTTTAGCTATGGCACGATGTTTTTTTGGCATGTAAAAGATGCTTCATGAGTTTTATCAAGATAACTTACATATTGACCGTTATATGTATATGGTATAAAGTCAACCAAAATTTTGAAAATACTTCTGTTAAGTATTTGCCGGCTATGGTAACCAATAACCCCATGACACATTAAAAGGAAAGGAAAGGACGTTCTTTTGGTAAAAAGTCAGTCATTTTAGACGTTAGATGTTATATCTTAAGGGCACTATTTATATACGGGTTTTCCCGATACTTTAATTTTTGGTTACTTTGTGTACTGTAATATGAAGGAATTAGAAGGAATTTAAAAGTTTGTTATATGGAAAGTAGGCGTGGTAGCATTCCGATTTCGCCCATTTTTACACTGTAAGACACCAATGTCAATATAATCAGAGAACGTAAATGAATTCATTAACATTCTCTGATATAATGTTGCGCATCGAATTGGATTGAAATTGGTCGAAAACTTCCTGAGATACACAATTTCACCTGAAGGTGGCGTAGGGTGAAGCCCTTCCCCACCATCTTTAATGCTTCAGACGTATTTATTTAGTGAGTTTTCGCATTATAAGCAGTTTTTGATATAGCCGTTATATGGGGAGTGGACATGGTTATAATGGGGTTTCACAAATTTTCACACTGTCAAAGAAGGCGCCAAGTAGATTTGCCCTGAACAAATTTGGTTGAAAAAGCTATAATAGTTTGTCAGATATGTACTTACAACCATGGGGGCTATGCCCACTTTTTAAAAGAGTTCAGCACATATGTGACTCACTATTGCGCTTTCCTGTATCAAATTACAGTTTTGTATCTTAATTTAGAGCAGTTATAGCACTTTTTAGGTGTTCGTTTAATGCCATTATGGGCGTGGCAATGGTCCGATTACTCCTATCTGCAATACCAACCTCCAACCAACTAAGGAACATATGTAGCAAGTTTCATCAAGATTTTTTAATTTTTACTCAAGTTACAGCTTGCATGGACAGACAGTCACTCGGATTTCAACTCGTCTTGTCATTCGCATTGTCAGGATAACAACCTAATCATGTTGCGATAGTATAATAAAAGAAAGAGATTTTTTAAAATCTGAAGACGGTAAAAGAGGAAGTACTCCTTCAACTTTTTGTTTCCCTGGACTATCTTAGCGTCGCTTTTTCAGAAATCTAAATTTTTTCATATCAATTTGTTTATTAATTGACATTAACCTATATTGTAACAATAGCCTTGGGGAATGTAGTTTGCTCCCAAAACTTTTTATAACTACATACATCCATTAAATATTTCATATCACATCACGTCATTTGATAATATGTCAAGCATATCTTACTTTGTGACATCTAATCATATCATATTCATTAAATCATATCCCCTCATGTCACATCACGTCGTATCAGCTGGTAGTGGATGGTATTATATCATTTCACAAAAAGAAAATTCGCTATATTTTAAAATTTTTCTTCGATCAAGGCGAAAAAGTAGCCAAAGGGCCGAAAAAATCAATTTAGTTTATGGGCCCGACACTGTAAACGAACTTGTAGCACAAAAGTGGTTTGCTAGGTTCCGTTCCGGTAATTTCGATGCCAAAGATGCACCACGCGTCGGGAGGCCTGTCGTCGAAAATTGCGATAAAATCATGGAAATAGTGTAAACAGACCATCACGTGAGTATTTATTTAATTGCTGAGGAACTAAAGATAAGCCAGAAAATCGTTTGAAATCATTTGCATAACCTTGGATTCAAAAAGAAACTCGATGTTTAGGTGCCGCACGAACTAACGCTCTCTGCTTAATCGCAACAAAATCGACCCGTTTCTGAAGCGGATTGTGACTGGCGATGAAAAATGGGTCACTTACGACAACATCGAGCGCAAACGGTCGTGGTCAAAGCTCGGGGAAGCGGCCCAGACGGTGGCCAAGACCGGATTGATGGCCAGGCAGGTTTTGCTGTGTGTTTTGTGGGATTGGCAAGGAATCATCTACTACGAGCTACTCCCCTATAGCCAAACGCTCAATTCGGCCCTCTACTGCCAACAACTGGACCGCTTGAAGGCAGCACTCATCCAGAAGAGGCCATCTTTGATCAACAGAGGCCGAATTGTGTTCCATCAGGGCAACGCCAGGCCACAAACGTCTTTGGTGACTCGCCAGAAGCTCCTGGAGCTCGGATGGGAGGTTCTAATGCACCCACCTTATAGTCCAGACCTGGCACCAAGTGATTACCATCTTTTCCTGTCCATAGCGAACGCGCTTAATGGTGAGAAGTTGGCCTCAAGAGAGGCCTGTGAAAATTGGCTCTCCGCCAATAGGGACGCAGTCTTCTACGGGAGGGGTATAGTGAAGTTGGCATCTCGTTGGCAACAAGTTTACGAATAAAACGGCGCGTATTTGACTTAAATCGGACAAATGTACACAAAGTTATCATCTTTTGAAAAATCAATAAAAAAAAAAACCGAATGAACTTTTTACTTTACCTAATATATCATATCGTACAATATGAAATCATATCACTTGTATATCACATCACACAATGTGACATCTCATCGCTTTATACTCGTAAATGTGACATCATATCACACCAACATAGATTGATATCAAGTGCTTCTTCCTGTAGTGAAAGACCGCTATAAAATTTGTACAATGCAATGAAGCTTTATCATTCGATATTATCTCCGTCTAGATTTGTTGTAATGGTCCTTCAACATTTCGACACCGGTTGAAGCTTCGAGGCCTTGACGCCCTTCATTGAGTGAAATCTGGAGGATACGAAAGATGGATGAGAAAAAATTCTTTCAATTTATCGATCGTGGCACAAGCTAAATGAATGGACGATTTCAAACACCGCACGCAAGTCACTCTTGTTTGTAAGAATTATGCTGGTACGGTTACGACAATATTCCATAAATAAGTACTGGACCGTTGAATATTACAGTTTTGTATTAACGATGCTTTTTCTCTCAGGAATCTATATTATATTTAAGACCCGAAATTCCTTTTTACGTCACCTTGAGTTCAATACCTTGAGAACAATTGTATGAAATTTCATAAAACTTTAACAATATTCAAGTCAATTTGAGACGAATAAAAGCAAATCAGTATGGTGTAAAAAATCATATTGTATTTTTTTTTTCGAAAAAAAACCTTTTAGATGAGCCAAACTTTGTATGCAACAAATTGAGCTCAGTTTCACTTAAACTAAATCATGCGCTTTCCAATTAAACACATTTTCATAGAAAGCCTCCGCAAAAGCTCTACATTGCAATAAAATAACGGAAATAACTTTCAAAAGCTTAGCAATGGCTTGTAGTTTCCCGTTAACGACCACGGAAATTAAATCAAACAACAAACTAAAAGCACCAAGTAAGTTGCCGAAGTGAAATTATTGCTTTCGCCACTTTGTTGTTGTTGAAAAAACGAGTAACTTTTTTCACATTTATTAACATTCACTGCTCTGTCTTTTACTAGGTAAGCTTACAGAGCGACCGCTGTTGTTAACATTACCTGCACATATATGCGATTGTTTAACATAAGTGGGTCGCATCTCCAACGTTTTTGTGGTTGCTGTTGTTGTTGCGTGCTTTGAAGGCACACTAGGCATAATTTGTTGGTTTCGGCTCGTCAATTGGTCGGCGTAGGCGGCTATTCGGGCAGGTGGTGGCGCCGTGTTTACATGTGTGTATGTATGTATGCATGTGTATATCATCGATGTTTGGCGGGTAATTGCATCGCCACGACCAGAGTCCTACTTCAGTTGTTATCGTTCGGTTCGGCTGTTTGGTTTGCTCAGCGACAAAATGGATTTGCCGTTAATATTTCGTCCTCTTCGAATGATTCAATGAATGCGCTGTTGTTATTTGCGGTGCGTAAGGCGCGTGTTTAACAAATTGGAGTGGAGTTTGTGTTACAACAACAACAACTGATAAACAAAGTGTACATTTATTGTGATATTTTTCGATTTTTCTTCGTTCTCATTCAAGCAAATTTTCACCGTTCAAGTGCATTCCTTGTTGTTGTAGTTTTTTGTGCGTTTAAATAATTATTTTTTGTTGTTGTACTTACCGCTGTGAATGCCGTGTTGTTTGCAGCGCTGAAAATTCGTTGTGTCACTTCAAATGTTCTAACGGCATGCAATTTTCAAAGTGCTTTCCAAGTGATTTGCAAGTGATTGTCTCTGGTTGTGCGTTGACGCGACAGTTTCTGTGTTTTCCTTTATCTGTTCATTCTTGCGAGTTTCATGCGTGAAAGTTTATAAAGTTTCTGTGGCGATTTCTTTAGTGATTGACAGGTGAATCGGCAGACATGTGGTAGTTTTTGGAATCCTATTTGCGAAAAAAGAAAAAAAAAATTAAATACATAATTACATACATACATATGTACATATGCGTGTAAACATATGCATGTATAATTAAAATAATTGATTTATGTCTTTTTTGTAATGCTTGTCAGTGTTCTTGACAGTTCAGTGTATCGGCTAGGCTCTACATTTCTTAAAGAGAGCGAAAGTTTCTGAGTAAAAGTAATCACAGTGATTTTGTATAGTTCGGCGACAACTATAAACAACAACAAAAATAATATTAATTGCAGTGCTGTTCTTGACTGGACATTGGATGAAATGATTTAGTGGATTAAAAGGTAAAACTGAAAATTTTTTTTGGGTGCAATTCAAAAAAAAAACATGTAACAAAACAAACCATATAACAAAAACAAATATATATATATATATACATTTTCATGTTTAAAGTCAAAATAATTTTACAAAAATATTAAGCTTTTGAATTTTTTTCGAACAAAATTTGCTTGTAATCTGATTGTACTTGAATAGGATTTTTTGCGTCAGTTTAATAATTCTGGTGACGCCACAAATTTCCTTTTTATTATTTTTAATATAATCAAGCACCAAAATCACTAAAGTTTACTTATGCATTTATACAAAATTATTAAACAAATATATTTTGTGCTTTGTGTTTGCAAATTCATGAGTCCGAAAAAACTAGAAAAATACCCTGTATATCGCATTGTAATTACTTTATAGATTTTCTAATGACACAGAACATTTTTAAGGCGCTATGGCTTTGTTAAGGGGTTAGTTTAGAGCTCTGAGCCTAGGCCTAACTTTGACAATTTCTGCTGGTAGTAAGGAAAAAGGATTAAAATTCCCTCCTTTCAGGATTTATTATTTATATATTGACATTTTGTTGCAAAATGGCGGCTACTGTGCCAATCTTTGGAATTACATTTACAGGAGAGCTTCTACATGCGATAGTATTTTTGACAGTACGTGCTATCAAAACCAAATTATAAGGACTAGTAAGAAAAAATCCACTATTTTTGCTTTAAATTAAAGGTTTTGTTTACCATAGCTAGAATAATCCGATTTAGGATAGGCAACCGGTTTCTACGATAACTTGTTGCCATTTTGAAGTTAATTTCATAATGCCACTCTTATAGAAACACTCGTCCCTGGCAAGAACAGCTACTTATCACTTGGTGCCGGATCCGGAATAAAAGGTGGATGCATAAGAACTGCCCAACCAAGCTTACCGGAGATTCTGGCGAGCCACTATAGATGTATGGCCCAGCTTTGTCGTGGTGGAAAACAATAATTCTTCTATTGATCAAAGCTGACCACTTTTGGGCGATTACACAATTAATTTTTTATCACGTCGCCCGATTTAAATTTTCGAGAAAAGTGCTTTAAAAATTTTATATGCTGAAGCTTCCTGATCCGAACGCTTCGACACTAGAGCGTTTCGGACAGCACTAATTTCATTATTCAACCAATTGAATAATGTGTTTGGGACCCTAAAGCGTACATCAAGCCAAAAGCAAAACAAGAAAAAACGTTAACTTCGGTTGCACCGAAGCTATAATACCCTTCACAAATACAAAAGATTTCTTACAAGAACTTGATTTTGATCAGTTAGTTTGTATGACAACTATATGCTATAGTGATTCGATTTGAACAATGTTATTGCAATCTTCTGCCAAATTTCTTGAAGAAATCTCGTCAAATGAAAAAGTTTGCCTTACAAGCACTTGATTGCGATCGTTCAGTTTGTATAGCAGCTATATCCTATAGTAGTCCGATATAGGCGGTTGCCACAAATGAGCAGCTTCTTAGGGAGAAAAAGATGTGTGCAAAATTTCAGATCTATGTCTTAAAAACTGAGGGATTAGTTCGAGTATATACAGATAGACGGGCATGGCTATATCAACTCAGCTCAATATGCTGATCATTTATACATATTTTTGTAAGAAACTTTGTTGCCAACTTAATAATTCATGTTTAGGGTATACAAAAAATATAAAAAAAAGTTTAAAAACCCTTCTCCACCTTAAAGAACTGTATCTTCCTCACGTTTAAAAAATTGTAATATCAGCCAATTATTATATGTATTGAAAAATCTAAATATTTACGAAAGCATGCTTGTCAATTACCATTTTTCAACTTTGTGCGATGTTTATCGCCTCAAACAAGTAAAGTGCGACAAAGCTCCGTTAAAACTGAACATTTGAGGTGAAATATGAAGATAATATAATAATTCGAGATTTTTAGAAAAATATGTTAAACATATACAGTCTGATTTCGCCTATATTTAGATACTAAACTTATCTTATCTAGGAGCAACATACCTTCTTATATTACTACAGCGTCTTAACAAATATCCGAGACACGTACTACGAAATCACTCGCATAGACGTACAACAAGGATATCGCTGATGTACATTATACAAAGTCGGTTGGTGTTAATAATAAAAATTAGTATAGTATAGCGATCCATGAAATGCCATTGAATGACCAAAACAGGATTGTTTGGGCCAAATAAATATGGTAGACATTGGCTCATTATAACCACAAATGCGTGACAAAGGGTTTGATGGTTTCCTGCTTAAAAAAGATGGTGATATATTTCGGTGGAGTTTTCTTAAAAGACCAGTGTATGCCAGAAATTTCCTGAAAAAATTGTGTATGAAAAAGTAGAATTAATATGCGAAAATGTTTCTTGGAATGAAAAAAGAAACGTCTTTTGTATAACCATAATTGACTAATCAAAAATTATACCTTAGCTATGACTAGCAGACAATATTTGAGCGATTAATAAGGGCTCAAATATTGTCTGCAGCCGTATCTGAATAATAGATACTAACAGACTGAGCGGTAAAATCGGTCATACTAGACAAGGTAAAAGGCCAGCTCCATCTTATAAGAAAACAGTACGTAGTATGGTATACAATACTATAATTTTGGAAAAATCTATTTAATTACGAGTATGTGGAACGCATTTTATTTAAGAAGAAAATAAAACAATTTCAATATCAATTCAAGTACTACATCTTAAACCCGGCGGAAACATCATATACCAAATTCTCCGAAATTATAAAATTTTTAGTTAGAAGAGTGACCAAATATAAATATAATCTGATTAAATTCCATTTGAACTGGTCCATTTAAACTGCGGCCGCCAACCCAATCAATAAATAGTTTTCCTATTTTGGTACAACCTTTTTTTTATTCTCGAATGAAAAAATTAAAGAAACAGTATTTTAAAAACGTCGTGTTGGCATCAACACGACAGAAGCAAAGGTTCTAAACAGCTCTTATGGATCGACTTAAAACATTTTGGGTAATGTTTTGGGTATGAAGCGTATCAATGCCAGACTCGTATCAAACTAGCGGAATCTTTTGCAAAAACGATGTCGAGTAGAGGTCAGAAAAGAGAGGTTTGACAACTTAGCTAAGGACCTCACATTCATCAAACGCAACATTCCTGGTGACGAGACGTGGGTTTAAGAATATGACAGTTAAACTGCCTAAAAATCTAGCCAATAACGCTTCAAAAATGAGCTGAAATAGAAAAAACCACGTCAAAAATCAAGGTGATGCTTATTGTTTGCTTTGATTATCTTGGTGTGGTGCAGCATCAATTCGTTCTATAGGATCAAAAGGTCAATAAGGAATACCTTTTAGCCATTTTCAGGCGTCTACGAGAAGCAATTCGTTGTAAACGACCGGCAGATAAAGATTCATTAATTTTTCACAACGATAATATCGTCAAAGTTTTTTTAGGTAATCACGACTCTCGTAGTCATGGCTGTCACTTTTCGCTGAAGGCACTGAAGGCCATACCAATCACAGACGGGACTTATAACAAGTGTATGGAAAATTGGATAAGTGTTGGCATGCTCGTATTGGCTCCGGAGTCTGTTTTGAAGGCGTTAATAAAAATTTGTGTTAAAATTCCTGGAAATGAGTTTATTCATATTTTTTGTTTAATCCGGGTTGAATTTGATCCGATGTGGTTATTAGTTTTGAATATCGGGACACTGCTTTTTTTTGCTGAAATATTATAACCAATAAAGTTGGAAAACTTCAGCTTTGAGAATGCCTTATAAAAAATTTGAACACGTTTTTGTAGTGCTCCTCTTAACCACAAGTACCCTCGATTTATGCGGTTTGATGTTTTTTCCTCGTTATGTTTACATTCTCAAATTTTTCCATACATCTTATTTTGATAATAAATATTAAAAGATTCGACACAGTCTGAACTTAACTCAAGCCTTCGAATATTTTTTAAGGACAGACAAGTATACATATGGCAAATATTTATGTGATATAGAATTTGTAAAAGGTTTCTTAGATAAAATTTAGCACACACATACATTCATACATGCATATGCTAATACAATTTATAAATTTAACCGCATGAATAATTAACAGACTTTTTAGAGATATTAATACATTCTATATATATATATATATATATATGTAAATATGTACTCATATTCATCCTCTTCAGTAAATCCAGTGGCAACGTCGCAATCCAAGTACAAGTATAAATACAAGTGTGCTGCGAACAATCGGACACTTGAAAGCGCGTCGTCGTTGAATGAATAAAAAATGAAGGAAAAGCCCTAAATATACTTGTAACATTCACTTCCGCGTCCTTGACGCGAACACATGCATACAAACAAACAAACATATTTTCTGCTCTTCACAAAATGTTAATGTTAATTAAGAACTATACTAAATGCAAAAGCAACAAGAAAACAGCAAGCAATAACAGGACTACAATGTCCAACTAAGACAATAACAATAGAATTAAAATCAGAAAAAACAAGTAAGTAAGGGTTAAACTCGAATGCAATCGAATATTTGATACTCTTGCGTTGGTGACATTCTGAATCGATGAAAATCAAGCAGAAAGACGAAAATAATTTTTTAAGATATATGGAGGCTATAGCAAGGTTTGGATCGATTTAACTTACAATCACCACTAAACCATATTGTGGTTACAAAAATAATATCCACTTATTTTCATTCATATATCTAATATTTTGATATATAAACTTTTTAAAGTCAGATGAAAAGTCGAAAATCACTATATCGGGTATATTTGGGTTAGGGGAAGCTCTGGGCAGATTACATGCACTTTTCAAACTACTCAAGTATACTCGAGAATATATTTGCACGTAATTTTATGAAGATAACTCTCACACTGATATACATACTCGGCATAAAGTCTGCTAGAATATCGAAAAAATAACGGGAGTTTTAAAATTTAGAATTTCGTGGGTTTGGAGAGTCCAACTGTCAAATTTTTTTTTATTATGTTGGTAACATGTCGCTGAAGTACTATACAATTTTCAGTTGTATTCATTGCTTGCTTTGTTTGTGGCAGCCGCTAAGTTCTATATGAGTTTGGCGATTTATGTTTGTTAAAAGCTCATACTTCGTTTCTTGTTCGTGAATTATTGGCTATAAATTATACTGTAGCCATCATCTATATTCGCCAGACATGGCTCCATGTAATTTTTTCCTATTTCTAAAAATAAAGAGAACCCTAAAGTAACGTCAACAAGTTTACAAGATAGCTGAAAATCGCTGAAAGAGCTTAAGGCTATCCAAATAAATGGAATTTGAGAAGTGTTTCGACGATTGGAAGAAGCGCTGGCATAAGTGCCATAATAACGAATGGGAACTATTTTGAAGGCGACAGCATTAATGTAGATTAATGAATAAATCTTTTTCTTTAAAAAACGAAACTTCCCGTTATGTTTTAAACGCATTTCGTATGTGGTGTAAAGGAGCTGTGATCATTCGTGGATTGATTTAAATCTTTTTCATCAGGAAAATATACTTGTAGTAAGTCCAATACGTTAAATTAATTAATTAATTTTGCCAAATATCTTACATATTGGCCGATATATGCGGTAAAAAGTCAGCCGGACGTTTAAAAAATTGTATGTTGGGTATATATTGGCTAGTAGTACTACTCCGATTATATCCATCTTTAGCATCACGACATATTATTAGCAAAAAAAGATGCACTGTGAGTTTCAGTAAGGTCTCGCATAGATGTACCGATATATATACATATGTAGGCAACAGGAAGTTTCAAAATCTTAATACATAGTAGTAGATACTTGGGGCTAGGTGAACTATTGACACGATTTTATAAATTTTTGGCTTCAGTACACATTATAACTAGGAAACGCTGCTCTCTGCATTTCATTAATATATCTCACAGATTAACCGACATTTTCCGTAAAAAGTCAGCCATAGGCGGCCTGAAAAGTTGTAGTACTCTTTCGACTATTTTTGGTTGTCAGCTGGCATAACTTAAGGAAATATTTCTGCAAAGTTTTATTCTATTAACTTTATTGGTGATTTTTTTATATACTGTAAAGTGAAAGAATCAAATGTGACGTAGAGGTAATAAAAGGGTTTGTCCTGCGCGAGTTTGGTTGATATACTTAGCTTCAAGGGCTTGTAAATGTAGACATTTTAAATTAATTACAGGGCGAGACCATGCCCAATTTTCATGAAAATTTGAAGCACAGATGCCTAGATCGATGATCTGCTTCTAGTTATGGTTTTTTATCTTAATTTGTTGCTTAGGTTTAGCAATTTATATATTCGAAAAAGGGTATTTTGTGGGCGTGTCAGTAGTTTGATACCGCCCATTTGGAGTATCAATCTCCACAGGGCACCAAGCAACAAGTGTACCATTTTTCAACAAGATAACTTAATTTTTACTCAAGTTATCGCTTGTACGGATAGGCGGACAGACGGACATATAGACAATCATTTGGAATTCAACTCGTCTCGTCATACTGTTTATTTTTATATATTTATATATAATATATTTTATAATTTCTATATCGCTCTTGACTAGTTTTAGGTGTTAGGTCAATAAAACCGCTATACTCTTGCTTGTGTGTTGCGAGTGTACAAAAATCATAAACAACAACAGCAGTGTTGAGTGTCAAAAGAATGAAAAGCGTCAAACAATAGCATGTATAAGAGCGAAAAACGCTTGAAGAAGTTCTTCTAATGACTTGGGGGCACAACAGCTTGTTCGCCTGTCAATGTGCATATATGAGTAGATGTGTGTGTGTGTGTGAATAAGCTTGCTTCGCGCCACTGAAATTTGTAGTTAGTGGGTCAAGTCTACGCTATTCTTCTCAGCCATAGTCATGCAAATTTGTATGTTTGTGTATATTTATATATGTGTGTGTAGTTGTATGCGTGTGTCTGCATGTACATATGTATGTGTGTGTGTTTTTCACCGCGAGCTGAGGCGCTGCATGATTTACGCGTTTGACTTGCATATTCTCAAGGCAGACAAGTGAAAGCAGACTTGCTCGCTAATATGCAGAAAAATCAAACTAACGGTAACAGAGGCAACCAAAAACCGTTGTGAATTTGGATTAACTTTTGAAAAACTGAATTTTCTTCGTTAGTCGATGCCGTGGGCTGGTTCGGCGCATACACACAAATATATTAATCTGTCTGCTTTGGCTGTTGTGGGCACATACATACATACATACACATATACTTACATGCAAACTTACATCCATACACATATATACATACATACATTCAAATATACCAACATTTATACAAAAATCCAGTTAAAAATTGCATAAATGCAAATGAATGTTTTGACATTG